GGATAGGGGGAATAACTTGTTTGCCCCCTTTATTTCAGTAGTGATTGGTCTTTGGGCAGTTTGAGCCCCTCTCTGAGTGTTTGATGAATGACAAATGCACTCAGGCACATCACACAAATATTTATGTGTCACAACCTTCCTGAGGCTGATTGACTGATCCTTCATCCAGTGCACAGGATGGGGATGCAGTTGGGGCAGGGGTCCTTGAGGGTGTAAGGACTGTGTGTGATTTTCCTGTTGCTGGGATGGGGAGACCTGTGCCTGGGAAGCCTCTGTCAAAGGGGCCCTGGGTCACTGTCTCCACCGTGAGCCCCTCTGACTCAGACTAGAGGCTCCTCTCCTAGCATCCTCATCAGGATCACCTGATGCCAGCAGCTGCCCAACCCCTGGGCAACGCCAAGAGCCTCCTGGTCTCAAACGGGTTGGGCAACATTCACTTCCCGGCGCTGTCCTACCGACCTGCTCGGTCATTAGGAAATGACTCCGCAGCGGCGGTCACAGTGACAGCAGCGGCAGAGGATCTAGCTGCCCGGGCCCACAGCCTCTGCGTGGCTCCCAGCTGCTCTGCGGAGGCGCCCGATAGAAAAGCGGATGCTACTCTTGGTCAAAGCCCAAGTGAGTCTGGGGTCCTGGCTGGGTGTGGGGAAGGAGCAGGGCAGTGTTCTGAATTGACGCTGGAGTGATACTGGGGAGTGTGTGTGTGTGTGTATGTGTGAGAGAGAGAGAGAGAGAGAGAGAGAGAATATGATGCGTGTGTTGCTTATGGGTGAGGATGTATTCATATCTAAAATTATAGGGACTTGCATTAAGGTTCTAGGAGAGAATACCAGGTGCCTAGAAATGTCATTGTCTCTTAGTGGCAGTGGTTTCCCAGGGATGGTGACACCGGCTCCCTCTGAAGATGGTTTACCAACCATCGCCTTCCTCCTGCCTCACAATCAGCCAGAGGGACAGCTCTGTTTAGGGTCATTCTGAGAAGGGAAGTTTGGGTAGTCACTCTTCTATCCACGTTTCTTCATCCACTCCTTGGACCAAAGTTTGGAAAGCCTTTCACAAAGGCCCATGGAAGCCCCCAGTAGATTAGACAGTTCACAGTGAGGGCTGTGTAGTCAGACCATCCTGGGTTCAAATCCTGGGTCTGTCCCATACTAGCAGCGTGACGTTGAATAAATTACTTCACTTAAGCAGTCTGTAAAATGGAGATAATACCTACCTCCCCAAAGTTATTGTCAGAATTCAACCAGGAAGGGATGCAAAATGCCAACCACATAATTAGTGTTCAATAAATAGTAGCTGTTATAATTATTTATTATTAGCTCAACACTGGTCCCATCTCAGAAGGAAGATTTTCCAGTCTTCTTCCCCCCAATCTCCCAAGGCACAAATGGGGATGCTTTTGGCATACAATGCTCTGCTTTGTCACTTCACTAGCTTGTGTCCAGACTAGAGCATGTTCCTTGCGCTTCTTCTGCTGCCTGTTCCCATATGCAGCACTCAACCCAGTCAGGTCCACCAAAGGAACTCAAGGATGGAGAATGGCATAGAATAAAGAGAAAGGAGAGATGCAAGAAAGGAGGGGTCATAGAAAGACCGAGATGAGAAGAGGGAGAAGGAGATGACATTGTCCAGGTGTGAATGCCATGGGTCTACTGAAACAGAAAGGATTGCAGTGGAAAGAGGCCATCAGTGGAGGCTTAGGATGTCTTCTGCATTCCTTGGACCCCTTTTACTTTTCCTAGAACTCACATGAGAAGTAAAAAAACAAAAACACCCCTCTCTTCCCCCTTCCCTGCTCATCCAGAGGACAGTGCTTCCTGAATTAACTAATATCTCTTCACCCAATCTTATCCATTGGTTCCAATAATGTTCTATCATCTGTGGGATCTCCTCTCTTTGCTATCTCTCTCTCCATCATCTTCCCAAATGACCCTGGGAAAGTCTCTCCACCTCTCTAGACCTCACTCTGCTCATCTATAAAACTAGGAGATTCAACTAAACAATGGCTAAAGTCCATTCTTCCCCAACATTCTTTTATTTGCTCTTATTCTCTTGCTACCTTGTCCCCTATTTCTCAGCTTAACCATTTAAGCTACTGATCATCAATCTTCCTTTAAAAAAAAAAAGTTCTTTTTCAAGAAAGTGTCCTTTTTCAATAAATGCCCTCTAGGCTCTAAAAATTCATGAAAGATGTTCATGATCATTGCTTGTCCCCAGTGTGTAAGCTCAATATTAAGCAAATACCAGATTCTCAGTAAACACCTGTTGAATATTAGATGGATGGATGGATGGATGGAAGAAAGGAATTACTATTGTATATCTGTGGGGAGTTATGAAATGCAGGAGGACATATTGGTAATTGGTTAGCTTGAGAAAATCATGGTCATCTTGATAATAACTCCTTGGTTAGTTTAGGCATTTCCCAGTGTGTTATGAAATGAAAACTGATAAACCCCAGAATTACCATTTTAATATTTATTCATTGCCCATTACTTACCTAATCTATGGTCATGTTGTTCGGGTATTCTAATTTTAGGAGAGGTGCCCCCTCTTTTAGTTACATAACAGAGGTTACCAAAGCCCCCTCTGGGAGAAGAGGGAAGATTTGATCTTCCTTCTTCGTGACACCTCTCATTTACTGAACACTTAACTGTGTGCCATACTCTTCACTTGCATTAAATCAGGACTCTAGGAGGAAAGTAAAACCATTATTATCGACTTCATCTTACAGATAAGAAAGTAAGGCTCAGAGAGGTTAGAAAACTTGGCCAAGGTTATAAATACAGACAGAAATGGATACATCAAGTATTAAAACCTGGTTCCATTATCTGAGTCCTTGACTCCTTTCCCCTCACCTAGACACCATATTGACCATTTCTGAGACTGAATCTGCAACTCCCTGCAAAGGTTTTGGTACTGACTCCATGATCCTAGGTCTCCCATTACCACCACCAAATATTTTCACTCTTTCTTAGTGATAGGACATTTTCAGCTTGGCAAAATGGACTTGGAACCAAGCCAAGAGAAGAGAGCGATTCTAAAAGATTTGTGATCTTTATCATTTGTCCTTCCCAGTAGCTGATCTCATTCCCATCATATCTGTCGGGCCTCAGGGATGGCCACACAACACTACTTTGTCAGTGTGTCTCGGGTCTTTTGTCTCTTGTCATGGAAGGAAGAATATAATCAATAACAGGCAAGCATGGTTCCTTCCAAAGAGGCTGTTCTAGATAGGTTTGGGCTACACAAAGACCCATGGATGTCACCACATGTCCGAGCAGGTTTTTCCCTTTGAAATCATGGACAGTTCTGCTGAGAACATTTGGGGGGATGTCTCCTTTGTAGCCAGATACTGTTTCAACCCACCATGTTACTTTCTAGCGACCCCATAGTTTTAATCTCAAACAATATCATGCCACTTAATCTCTCTTTTACTTTTTCACCAGATTTGTCTCCCAGTGAGTTCTGGCCATTTCCCAAACATCAGACACATCCTCCAAGGATGAAAATCTGCCTTCACTGAGGTTAATCAGCAGGTTCTCTGACTGCCTTAGGCAGCTGTGAAAGAAGAATTTGAAGAATGACTGAGCATGGTGGGTGTTTAACTATGAGGAGGGCCAGCAGGCATTTCCATGTGTAAGTTCCAGGCTTTTCTATGAGGGATTGAATCCAGGGCCTCACATATGCTAGGCAAGTGCTCTACCACAGAGCTACATCCCCAGCCCCTCTGAACTTTAATTTTTTTTTTACATGTTACATATTTTTTATTTGTTCTTTTTAGATATACATGGCAGTAGAATGAATTTTAACATGTTATACATACATAGAGTATAACTTATTCTAAATCGGATCCCCTTTTTGTGGTTGTACATGATGTGGAGTCTCACTGGTCGTGTATTCATATATAAACATAGGAAAGTTATGTTCGATTAATTCTACTGTCTTTCCTACATCTCCCCTCCCTTTCCTTCATCTCCCCTCCCTTTCCTTCATTCCCCTTTGTCTAATCCAGTGAGCTTCTATTCTTCCTCCCCTCCCGCCTTTTAACATTTCTTGATCTGAAGTAAAAGTTGTTTTCAGTAAGTTAGGCTGCCTGATTTTGGAGATGGCTAAAAGAGATGAGTATAATGAATGAAAGAAAAATCCTGTTTTCTTTCACATCTCAGATTGGTTTTAAGTGTTAGCATCTGCCTATCAGAGAGAAACTTTGGCCTTTGGTTTTTTGGGGATTGACTTATTTCACTTAGCATGACAGTCTCCAGTTCCATCCACTTACTGGAAAATGCCATAATTTCATTCTTCTTTATAGCTGAGCTTTATTTTTAAAACAGTCATAGCTTTATATCCACCCTTAGCACAGAGGAATGCAATCCAGTGGCTGGAGGAAATTCCATGCATCAGCCAATCCTAGCGGAGGGGGAAGGTTAAGAAGTAGTGGGCGGTTTCTGAAAAATGGACACTTTGGATACAGACCCAAATTGAAGACTGGACTGAGCCAGGACATACATTTTCTTAGCACTCTGTTTGCCCTGGGAACTGGGTCCTCCTGTCTTCACTTCTGCATTGGATCAGGAAGAGGTGAGGTAGTGACCTCACCATGAGTACATGTCATGGTTGGGGTGAGGCATCGGGCACTTGGGGGTAGTTTTCATCACGCTCCACACACCTCCTTTCACAATCCACCGTGGCTTGGATCTCTCATCTGTTTTGTAGCACCCCTTCCAGAAGTTTCTGTGCGTCTGCTTCCTAAGACTCTTAGGTCTCTAGGTCTTAGGTTTTGGTTTGAATCAGATAGGGCACTAAAGAGAAGCAGCAGAAGAGGAAAGAGTGGGAGTACAAAGAAGAGGAAGGGACAAAGACAAAGCTTAGAGAAATCCCTTGAGGCAGGGGTGTGGGTGGAAGTTAGGAAGTGGGGGAGGGGGAAGGAGGAAGAAAGACCTGGATGTTCATGATCCTCCACCTTTGTCCTTTGACCAGCTAAACTCTGCCTTCTCTGAGGGGTCATGTCAGAAGGGGAGAGCAAGGACAGCTCGGGCAGCGAGTGCCCTGTATGCTACGAGAAGTTCCGGGACTTGGAGGGTGCTAGCCGGACGCTGAGCTGCGGCCACGTGTTCTGCCATGACTGCTTGGTCAAGTATCTGCTGTCCACACAGGTGGACGGGCAGGTACAGAGGACCATCGTCTGCCCCATCTGCCGCTATGTCACCTTCCTCAGCAAGAAGAGCTCCCGCTGGCCCTCCATGTTGGACAAGAGCTCGCAGACCCTGGCTGTGCCGGTGGGCCTGCCCTCTGTGCCCTCGCCAGACCGTGGGGGCCACACAAACCCTCTGGCCATCTCCCAGCAGGTCTGGAGACCATCCTCGAGTCAGAGCACCCAGCTTTCCTTAGACTTGTTGCCCAGCCTGCCCCGGGAGTCGCAGATCTTCATCATCAGTCGCCACGGGATGCCCCTGGGAGAGCAGGACACCGTGCTGCCGCGTCGCAGCCTGGCAGAGCTCTCGGAGGTGTCCCCCGCTCCCAGCTCCACCCGCTCCTTCTGTTGTCGGTCAAGGGCCCTCCTACTCATCACCCTCATCGCCGTGGTGGCTGTGGTAGCAGCCATCCTGCCCTGGGTGCTGCTGGTGAGGAAGCAGGCATGAGTGGTGTCACCCAGAGGGATGGAGGAGTGAGGTCCAGCCTGAGAGCTGCTCTGTGGCCTGGTTAGCCATGGCTTGGGTGGGGGCGGAGGGAGCCCTGGTCGCAAACAAGCTTTGAGGGAGGAGCCTGGACAGAGAGAGGGGTCCAATACCGTGAGACTGGAAGTATGATGGCTGTGCTCCACCTTCACCCACCCGGTCTCAGCAGGAGTTAAAGGCTGGCAGGGAGGCGACAGCTGAGCTGAGCTGAGAAGCAGGTGCTCCACATGTGGCCCCTATGTGTATCCTCAGCAAATACCACTCCTCTAGGCCAGAACTTAGCAGCCTGGGCAGATCCATGGTCACTGCCCATGGGGTCACCAGCCCTGAGGTGCAGCTACCTGCTAGGTGACAAGCCTGAAGCCAAGGGGGCCTCCTTCAGAACAAGGAAGTTCTGCTGGCCTGTGTCTTGCCAGATGGGGGCCCAGTGGCAGACCTCTTCCAGAATTCTCACTGGGGATTTTCTAGGTTTCTAATGCAAACCGGAACAAATAGTAGAGTTGGTGCCAGGGCCCAGGTTCAAGTTTCCCAGAATCTTAGCACCTGTACACAACCTTCCCAGCATCCCAATCCTCCCTGTCTTCTATTCACCAGCCTGGAAGATCTTCCCTGAGTGGGAAGCTGATCTCAGAGGCTGTGGCCCAGGCTTGGCTGGGGGAAGCAACAGAAGAGGGTCAGCCGGGAGAGCTGAGGCTACATGGGCTGTTGACAGAGGCCACAAATAGAGTCAGAGATCTGAGTCCTCTGGACCTACCTCTCAAGGAATGGGCCAGATTTTAAGTTTTGGGGATCTCAAGGGTGGAGTGGAATGAAAGGCAGGGAGTGGAGGGGAAGCTCCACAGGCCAGACTGGAGTCAGCTGAGAACTATGTGGGCAAATTAACCTCTGGAGGCTCCCGCCTCCCTCCCAGCCCAGGTCCTCCTCCTTCTCATGACCCAACCATTCATTAGAAGCTGCACCAGCTGGGCCAGTTCCTGAGGTGGATTCTCAAGCCAAGCTGGGTGAGGAAGGGTGGAGAAGAAAACAGCTGTGCTTGGCGGGGACACTGCTGTCTCAACAAATGCCGAGAACCAGCTGCTATCCAAGGCTGCTTCATCTGAGGACCTTTGACGAGGCCCACCAGAAAAGCTCACAGTGGATCTTGCCTGAGGAGCCAGTATGCAAGTGAAGAGCTATTGGCTGTCTGAGGCCCGTAAGCCAACCATGCACAGAGGGTGGAAAGCAGCAAAAAACCTCCAGCTATTGTCACAAGTACAGGGGGTTGGCACCAGGTGCCAAAACTAAGCCTTCCACAACCCATACCCCTCTTATCAAAGTCTGCTATCTGTAGGGAGAAAAATAGCACTGTGCCTCTTATCTGGTTCCCAAATAGCTGTAGGTGGTCATCATTTGGGGACTACTAGGGAGTAGGGTCCACAATGCAGGGACATTTGTGACACAGGGAGGATTGCTTTAAAGCACTTATGAGCTTCCTTATGCCTTTTCTGAGACCAGAGAAGAACATAGGTGCTATGGGGGTATGCCAGTGGAATGGGGGGTATTTATTTTAGGAACAAAAATAACTTTGCAAAGACTCTAATGAGTCTGTCTTCACCTCAGCCAAGCTGCTTTAAAATGTTGTGAATTTCTAGGGACCTCACTGAAGTCTTTTCAGATTCTGTTGTGTTTGCCCAGAGTTTCTTTCAAAATACCTGCAGTGTTTTCATATCATTCAGTGGTGACTCCTAGATGGTACTTCTTTTATTTTCAAAGAATGCCAAAAGCTATTTTTTAAATAAAGGTATATATTTTCTCAAAGATTCCAAAGACTCTGTGATGCAGGTGGGAAGTTCTGAGCTTGGACTTCTAGTATAATTCATGTAAGAATTAAAAAGATTTGGAAACTACAAATGCAAATGCCCCTTAACACCGATCTATTTGTAAAAGAAATGCAATTTAAAATTCTGACAGCATTCTTTTTTTTTTTTTGGGGGGGGGGGGATTGGGTTTTGAACCCAGAGGTATTTTACCATTGAGCAACATCCCCAGCCCTTTTTATCCAGTTATAGGTGGACACAACCTTTATTTTATTTTTATGTGGCGCTAAGGATCAAACCCAGTGCCTTACTCATGCCAGGTGAGTGCTCTACTACTGAGCCACAGCCACACGACTGGCATTCTGGTGTTTTTTTTTTTTTAATCTGCTTATCAAACCCTGAAAGAGAACCTTCTCTGCCACTGAGGCTGAGGTAGTTAGGGGAATTGGTGGTGGGAATGCATATGGTAAAGTTCTTTATCAAGGGAAATTTAACATTTTCTATCAAAGTTTCCAGCAATTTCTGTTCTAGAAATGTATCCTACAGATACACTTACATGTATGAGCAGGGACATGTGTATAATGTTATATAATTGCAGTATGCTTAGAATAACAAAGGATTGGGGAAACCCCCAAATGCTAATCAATAGGCTTCTGGTCCTTTAACTTATGGCTAGGGGCTACGGTGCAGTTATAAAGTGAACAAGAAAGGACTCATAAAATGATGAGGAACATCTCTGGGACACAATGGCAAATGGAAACAATCCAGATGTGAAACAGCAGATATCAGATACTACAATGTATATAGAAAGAGGGGGACATGAGAATTTATATTTTTGTTTGCTTATTTCTACATAAAGAATTTGGGAAGATACATGAAAAACTAATAACAATGATTAATTATTATTGTCCCTCTGGAAGGGGATGATAAACTGATAAGAGGAAAAGTTTTCACTTGACCATTGTGGGGTTTTTAAGTATTTTTTAGTTGTAGATGGATACAATACCTTTATTTTATTTATTAATTTTTTGTAGTGCTGAGAATCGAACCCAGTGCCTCATATGTGCGAGGCAAGCACTCCACCACTGAGCCACAATCCCAGCCCACTATTTATGTTTTTTTATGTATAATTTATTTACGCAAAAATTAAATTGAGGGCTGGGGATATAGCTCAGTGATACAGCACATGCTTAGCAAGTATGAGACCCCAGAAAAAAAAATCAAATTGAAAAATATTAGAAGCCGAAGATCTTCAGTGTACACTCTTTGTACCTGGTGGGGAGACCAACCCGAGAACATTCAAGAACTGCCAAGCCACTTGTCCTGTGACTCGAGAGTGTTGACCACTGGCTCTGTGGGACTCATTTGTCTGGTTAGAAGTATGACATCTTGCTGGGCACAGGGGTGTACACCTGTAATCCCAGCGGCTCTGAAGGCTGAGACAGGAGAATTGCAAGTTCAAAGCCAGCCTCAGTAATGGTGAGGCACTAAGCAGCACAGCGAGACCTTGTCTCTAAATAAAATACAAAACCGGGCTGGTGTGTTACCCAGTGGTCAAGTGCCCCTGAATTCAATCCCCAGTACAAAAAAAAAAAAAAAGAGTATGACCCTCAATAAGTAAGGCAAGAAGTTTAATCTTCTCAACATTCCTAAGTTTCTGTAGAATTTTGGGGGTCCTGTTATTTAATGTGTTTGTTCTGATTCCCCTTCTCTACCTTGCTTCTTCTTTCTTAAATAAAATCATTTGCTTTAAGCAACCACCCTGGGGTCAGGGCTCTACAGGGAAGATATCATCAGATAAATGATAGACAGATGGATGGATAGGTAGGTAGGTAAGTAGTTAGACAGTCAGATACTAGATACTTAGAGGATGGATGCCCAGGGTCAAAACTCCATTGCTCTTCTCTTCCTTCCCTTGTCCAGAGGCATACACACACTGCCACCTCCCATTGTCATAATAATCTTTAACTCTAATATATACTTGACAGTCTAGGCCTCCCAGGTAAGCTTAAGGAACCATAACATAGTTTACTGAGCCCTGGAACATGCTTCCCGCCCCCATCTTCCTAGCTTTCCAGAAACAGAACAGGGCAACCTATTAAGACTTCCCATGTCCTAACTCAGGGGAACTGATCACAGCTATGCTCCCCCCTACACACACTATACCCCATCATCTTCCTAGCACATGTTCTTGGTTGACATGTCTGTCCCCTCTTCTAGGCAAAGTTCTTTCAGGAGAGAGGCTAGATCTTAAAAGATCTCAGTATCACTAGTATCTTGACACAGAATTCAGAAATAGTAAGAGCTGAATATAAGATAATATTTGCATAATGCAATATAATATAATATTTGCATAATGCCAGTGTACCTGAATGAATGGTGGCTAGGAAAAAATTATTCCACTTTAGGTGTGAAATCTAGATATAAACCCTGCTTTGGTGTGTTTAGGAGCTTCACAAAGACCTGATCTAATTTAATGGATCTTTTTCAAATCATGTTAGAGAAACATAGGGAAGTGAGGGAAAGACGGCGGCTGGACTAGCTACCAGAGAATCATGCAGGGTGGAGCCAGGGCACCCAACAGGCACTGGTTAAGATAAAGAGGCTTTATAACTAGGCAACTGGTAGTTTTCATCTCTGGGTACAGTCAATAGGCCAACAATATTCTCACTGTATGAAGTGGCCACATTGTCCAAAGAGTGGGCTGAAGGTTTAATTGTGATGACTCATTGTTAGAGGAAGGGAAGTACAGAGGCCGGAGAGGGCTGAGTGGTAGCAGAGCATGATAGGTGCCAAGGAAGCAGAGTGGGTCTTTGTAGGAAGAAAAGGAAGATGATGAGGGGGACCTGAAGAAAAGGGTGGAGACAGGAAAGGTTTAAGGAAATGAAAAAACACTCTTCCTTAAGACTACGAAGACCAGAGAGGAAGGCAAGCTAAGAGCCTTATGTGACTCCCTATGGTTTTCAACATCCAAATCAAAATCAGTTTGGCCCCAGCGCCCCTGGACTTCCCCCTGAATACCTTTCTCTTTAGCCACAAGGATCTGGTTCCTGGAAAGAAAATGTCACACTACTCCTCACCGCCATACCTTCCCTCCAGCTATTCCCAGTGCCTCATGGAGCTAATTTTAACATTCTTCAAAACCCAGTCAAGAATGATCTCACCCCAGAAGTCTTCCTTGATTCCAGCACTCTCTTCTGCCAGGAGCCCAAAAAGTTGGGCTGAAGTACTGGGGATTAAAACCAATGAGCAACATCCCCCTTCCCTTTTTATTTATTTTGAGACTGGGTCTCACTAAATTGCCGAGGTTAACCTCGAACTTGAGATTTTCCTGCCTAAGCCTTGGAAGTCGCTGGCATCATAGGCATGCACCACGTCAGGGAGCTGTTTTTCCTTTGGTCTGGAGCTTAGACAACAGCTTCCCTCAAGCACATTCTCTGCCTTATTTGTAGCTTCAATGTTTAGTTCAGTGTTGGCCTGTTGAAAGATGCTCCATAAGCATTCATTGAGTAGAGTGATTGCAAAGGGTATCTCACTGAATTTAATTACAAATAAAATCCAGGACTCTTTCCTTCACAGCCTATTTAAATACACAACTCACCATCCTGGTGAGGACTCACTCCTAGTCCCAGTGGCTCAGGAAGTTGACAGAGGAGCATCTCAAGTTCAAGGCCAGCCTTAGCAATTTAGTGAGGCCCCAAGCAATTTAGTGAGAGCCTGTCTCAAAATTAAAGAAAAACAACAATAAATAAATAAATAAATAAATAAATAAATAAAGCTGGGGATATAGCTCAAATGGTAAATTGCTTCTGGGTTAAATCCCTAGTAAACCTCCCCACCCCCCAAAAAAGAACACAATCATATGTTTACACACACACACACACACACACACACACAAATTTTTATTTATTTATTTTTTTTTTTTTTTTTTTTTTTTAATTATTTTTATTTTTTATTTTTTTTAATTAATGAAAACACATGATCTTTACTGACTGGACTCTGGGCCCTCAAGGATACATGGTTTCTCACTCTTTGCTTTGCCTCACTAAGTTCCTACAAATTGGGGTCATACATGGGTTCAGCTATAAACTATGGGTTCTGTATTACTTTTTCACGGGTTCCTCTCGTTTATATGTAGCTCAGCTGATCCATTTGTAAAAATGGGGACAATAATAATACCAGCATCGACAGGACTATTTTATGGATTAAAGAATCTAACACAAAAGGCGTAGAAGAATGTCCCCAACACTCAGCAAACTCCCTACGTCTTATGTATTATTATGAAATTTGTCTCCTGACAGTATGACATCTGCATTATTCATTCAACAGAAACTGATGCCTCAGAATCCATTTGCAGGGGAGCATACCCCTTTTCCCTGAGCTTCCCCATGCCAAACTCTTTCACAGTGTGGTCTGGACCAGAACCCTTGGCTACACCTGGGAGCTCCTTAGAAATAAGGACTCAGATCTATTTCCGCGGGGGGGGTGTGTGGGGGGGGGGGGGGGGGGTGATCGGTGGCCCTAGTCCTTCTACGGCCCGTCGCCCCCGCTGATCCGAATCTCTGGTGCGCCCCACAGTGCAGTCACTGTGTGTGTGTGTCGGGTTTGTAGGCAGCGGAAGCTCGCTGAAGGACTCCACTTTGCTCCAGCTCACAGGGTGACCAACCGGTCAGGGTTCCGACGCCACCAGGCGGAACAAAGTAGGATCTGCCTTTTTTTTTTTTTTTT